AATAATGAGAATGTTAAACAGTGATCTGATCAACCGATTTTAAAAATTCTTTCACCCATAAGTAATTGTATGAGTTTGGAGCTCATCCATTACAAACAAATCTTTCCTGTTTATAATATTAATATTGACGTACCAAATTTGACTCAAATCCAAGTATGATTAAATAACATTCAAATATCCAAGTAAACATCCAAACATCTTTATCATCTTTCATATATATATATATATATATATATATATATATATATTGTAGATACAATATCTATATATTGGCCCAATAACGAATATATAAAATATCGGTTATCTAATATATAATATTGAAATGTAACAGCCGATCGAAATTAATATAGATGTCCGACCGGTGTGAACGATAACGAAATAGGTAATGACCTTTTTCCACTATCAATGTCCAGATAAATCTAATATATAGATACCAATATTTTTTATACCACTGAGATGGCAAACAAGCATAAGGCCCACCTGATGGTAAGTGGTTATCGTAGCCTATGAACACCTGCAATACTAGAGCTATTACGCGTACGTTGTCGACCCTGAAGAAACATCTTTACCCCCTTTTTGAAGAACCCCAGGCTCTTGGAAAAACCTAGGTAGGAAGCTCATTCCACATCTTGAGTGTTCTTGATAGGAAACATCTCTGAAACCGCGCCGTACGCGAATATTGAGGCTGTAGGACATGAGGATGAACTCCTTGTCGATGGATGGTGTCCATGCCTAATTATTATCATCAAGTCCTGTGCAGACGTGGGATATTCAGTAAACGTGGGATATTCAGTAAAATACCTTCAAATTTACCGTACGGACGATCTACATAACTATCGGTTCACATAGTTTCAATATATCTAAACTATACGTAAGTAATCCCGTAAGTTGAAAGGTACGTCGACCACAATGCGGATTGGACCCAAACTATAATTAGAAATTCACTAAAACCGTTACACATTCGATATCACACTAGCAGTTACATACTATCGTCTCTTGAATTAATATGTAACACAATTGATTCTTTACATATGGAACAGCTGGTCACATTTCAAGAAATTAAACTCTTGACTAACTTTTTTTTGTCTTTTTTTTACATAAGCTAATCAAAGCAATCACGGTCCTGGTGATAAGAAGATAATATGGTCCAAACGTGATGGTCGCCATCACAGCAATTTATATAGTGTTAGTGATCATGTAGCCTACAAATACATTAATTATTGCTTTATATTTCCTCTATTCAATAATGCATCGCCTACGTATTTGTCAGTTAGCCCAATGGTTGACTAGTAGAGAACACCGTACAGTGCTAAGTTCGCCATATGTACATAGAATATTACTGTAAATTAAAATTTAATAAAATAAATAAACACATCTTTTCACTTCTCTCTTAAATGCCGAAGAACTATAGATAGAAGAAAACAAGTTATATATATATTTTATTTATACCATCTGATACCAGCTGCGAGTGTACCGATAAACAATATTTATTGTATGTACTAAAACCTGAGCTACATGCATCCACTGATTCCCTGCATGCAACTAATGCAGGTGGCTCAAAATCGTTCCTTATGGCAGTCTATGGGAAGACCTGTATTCCGCAATGGACAGATAATGGCAGAGATAATAATGATGATATATTAAAACATAGCCCATCTGTGTTCCAAATTTCAATCATCGTGGTCAATACTACTAAACTCATTACTAGTACGTACCATAAATTCAAATCAATTATAATGTTATCATAAATACATACATACATATCTGTCACGCCTGTCTCCCATTAGGGTAGGCAGAAACAATGGAACGCCAAATGCTTCGATTCAAACAAACCTCTTTCTCTTCTTCCACATTCATCAATCTTGTCATACACGCTCGTCGGTTACGGGTACTTTTAATTTGGCCCTTCTTCAGCACGTCGCCTATTTGGTCGACATACGTCCGTCTAGGGCGGCCCCTACCGACATCTCCATTCATTCTTGCTCGATAAATCTCTTTCGTAATTCTTCTTTCATCCATCCTCTCCAAATGACCAAACCAACGCAAAATTCCTTTTTCAATTTTTGTCACTACATCGTCTTTCAGTTCACACTTCTCTCTAATCACATTGTTTCTTACTCTATCTTTTAAAGTAATACCACACATACTTCTCAAAGCTCTCATCTGTACAGCATTTATCTTACTTTCATGCTTCTTCTGCCATACCCACGATTCGCTTCCATACATGAGTGTTGGTGTCAGTACTCCTTGAATTATAGCAAGGCGAGCTTTGCTCGATACATTTTTACTTGACATAATCGAGAGCAGTGCACCGTTAACACTGTTTCCCGCTTTTACTCTCCTCTCAATATCTCTGTCACACTTCCCATCCCTCGTAAACAAAGAACCTAAATATAGAAACTCACTCACTTGCTCTACTTTTTCATCTCCTATCATAATCTGGCATGCCGTTAAACTTTCATTCCTCTCAAAAACCATTACCTTCGTCTTCTTCGCATTTATTTTCATACCTTTTCTTGCATACGCTTCATTCATTATAGTCACCATTTGTTGTAATTCATACTCCGACGATGCAAAAAGTACTTGGTCGTCGGCGTATAAAAGAGTCTTAAACAGAGACTCATTCATCCTGAATCCACAATTAGATCCTTTCAAATCGGTCAAGCAACTGTCCATAAATAGGTTGAACAGCCAAGGAGACGCTACACAGCCCTGTCTAACACCGCGTTCAATGCCAAACCAGTCTGTATAGACTCCATTTATTCTGACACAGGCATTTGAATCCTTATATAAAGATTTGAAAGCCCGTATCAAATGGCTGCTCACCCCATACATTGCCAGTGTTGACCACAGTTCATTCCTCTCCACTCTATCATAAGCCTTTTCAAGGTCAATGAAGGCGCAGAAAACCTTCTGATGTTGAGCTAAGGTTTTCTCTGTTATGCACCTTAAGGAAAAGACTTGATCCGTACATCCCATACCCTTTCGAAACCCTGCTTGCACATCCCAAATTTTACTTTCCGTCTCATTCATCACTCTTTTAATCAAAATCCTAGCATACAATTTGCCTACAACACTAAGAAGGCTTATTCCGCGGAAATTTTTGCACTCCTGCTGTGACCCGCTGCCTTTATATAGTGGCACAATAACAGCTTTGCTCCAGTCACCTGGAACACAACCGGACCGCCAACATTTATTGAACAGCAGACACAGCAGGTTTACAATGATTTCTCCACCTTCTTTAAGCATTTCGGCAGATATTCTATCGAATCCCGCTGCTTTACCAAATTTCATAATCTTCATTGCATTCATTACTTCATCCATACTTATATCACTTTCACTGTCAACTTCTTCGTCCATTATTTCATTTTCAACATTCTTTCTTTCACTTCCACGTTCAAATAAACTTTCAAAATATCTCTTCCAATGATCTAAGACTTCCTTTTGTTCCGTGATAACATTACCATCCATATCCCTTATCACGCCCATTTTCGGATCTCTCTTTTTACCTCTAGCTGTTCGAACTAAATGCCAGAAAAGCTTTTGATTAGCTCGAAAATTTCTAGAGAATTTCCTTTCATACTCATCCTTACATTCCTCTTTCTTTTTGCTTACTAATTCTTTAACTTTCTTTTTCATTACATCATACTTCTCTTTTGCAATTTTTTCAATGTCACTTACATTACCTTGCATTCTCTTATTAGCTCTGGTAGCTAACAAATCCATCCATGCCTTTTTCTTTAGAGCCACCATTTCTTTCACTTCGCCATCCCACCATACATTCATTCTCATCTTAACATCCTTCCTCTTACTTACACCACAAACTTGAGTAGCTATATCAAAGATTCCGCGTTTAAATTCCTTCCAAAATTCTTCTATCTCATAGTTATCTTTCTTCAGTAGCTCTCTAAATCTTTCATTCAATCTTTCTTGATACTGATTTCGAACCTGTTCTTCTGTCAGTCTCTCTACTCTTACTCTTTCTATTTCTGACATACGAACACGTGGACGATGTCGCCATTTATTGAATAAGCCACCTATTCTCGATATCACCAAAAAGTGATCGGTTCCGACATTCGTACCACGATAGACTCTTGTATCCTTCACTTTCGCTCTCAATCGTTCATCCACAATTACAAAATCAATCATACTTCTCTCAGTTTGCCTTTGCCATGTATACATATGAATCAGTTTGTGACTAAACAAAGTATTAGTCACCACCAGATTTCTCTCCAGGCATACTTCTAATAAACTTTCACCATTTTCATTCACTCTTTTATCTCCAAACATTCCTAAATTCCTTTCATATCCATCGCGACGGATTCCCACCCAGCCATTAAAATCACCTATCAAAATAATTCTTTCATTCTCCTTACATTTAGTCATAATCTCTCTTACACTATCCCAGAAATCCTCTCTGACCTTTGGTGGCTTGGACATATCCGGGGCATAAGCGCAAAGGAGAAAAATACGGGTCAAACCAACTTTCAGTCGTATCCAGAGGAGTCTAGGACTTACAAATTCAAATTCTTTAACAGATGCATTCATTCTCTCTGACAAAATAACTCCCACTCCTTGGCTGCTTCTTTCAGAGTCATTAACTCCGGACCAGTACCCAGTATATCGGTCATAAGTAGTAATAGAGCAGCCTTTCTTTTTTGTTTCACTTACTCCTAATACATCAATTCTTCTTTCACTCATCATCTCACATACTTCGTCTATTTTACTATCCATACCTCCACAAACATTCATCGTTGCAATTTGGCATTCCTTTGCCCTCTTTTTGCCATTTGGGGAAACAGGGGAGACATGACGTGACCCGTGGCATAACGCATCGCCGTCGATGAGAAATTTGTCCCCCCCAGATACGATGGGACTGCCTGAGTTGCACTCAGGGACGGAATCATAAATACTACTTAAAAATATTATATTGGCGTACGTACATAACGTAGATATCTAATACAGTCAATGAATAATTGCGCAAAGAGCAAAATATCTAATTCTCTGTACCGTAAATCATAAGTCGGTGTTTCGCTTTGATTGCAGAAACAAAAATTCTTTCCAATTAATTAAATGTTATGGTTGTTTTTCAAGCTTACATCGCTGTCTGGTCATACATAACTGCTCCCTATTTAGCTTCTTGAATGATAGCTACCGAATCTCCCCTTAATTTTTATGAATAATGACATCAAGCACGCAATCATTACCGGGCAACAAAAATGGAAAAACCCCGCTTCGTTGCACGTAATGACCATCCATTTGTTATGCATCAGGTGAGTGGAAATAAAACACAAATTGCTCATTTTTTTATTAAAATATCATATAAAAAATTACAGAATCCTATTGAACTTTGCTAATAATGCATTGAAATTATTATTTTAACTAGTATTGTGGATCATGAAGAATTACAACATTTCTTATCGCCTTTTCTCATGCTCGATATATTACGCGATTAATTTCGGAGTCGATAGGAGATCGAATAACATTCGCATGGCTTTTGTAACCACGTATTACAAAATTGGGAAACGTACTCATAAATAAGAGTTTATATAAACTCCGAATCGAATTAAGCAATTCTGAATAAAGTCGATATAAACTAATAAAAATTATATTGTAAACATTTTCATTATTAGATATGCAAGTAACATTTATTTCTGGTAGTGTTAGTCTACGCGAATAAACTATAATTAGAACTAGATTAATGAAATACACGTTCATTAACCTAGTACATAGAACAATCGCAATTATCTATACAGAGAGACTGCAATTGGGTGGAACGCTAGCAGCAATACAATATATTTGAACTAGCATCTCGAGTCCAGTTTCAATCGTGCTGATCTCGTTCTGATCCAATTACATTTAAATTATACTGTCCTCTTTGAAGTTTAACCTTGCACTATTCAATAAAGGTTGGTTATTTTTTCCTTTGCTTCATTTTACGGGCCCTCTTTGAAGAAGTTATAGTTCTTGTTCGTGATGATATTATCTTAATGCTAAATTGAAGTTTAATATTACACGGTTCAAACAGCTTATAATCTTATTGAGCTCTTATAACACATTTAACATCTTACAGTGCAACTTTACAAAAATACAAAAAAGAGACGCAACTCGTAGTGTTTAAAGAAATCTTCACGCTTTTTCTATATTTATGTTTTGATATTGAAAAAGTTTGAATATTATTACATCATGATAAAAAAAACAAGCTAATACTAGTACAAGTAGTAGAAAAATAATATAAAACACCCAATTTTAAACATTTTTAAAACAGAAAATACAGATCGAGGCTTAACTGTTATTTGTAATGGACGATAATTTATTATTTTTGACAAATTTTATTTAATTATGCTTACTATTATAATATTATACATAGAATAAATAAATAACAATAATTACAATAATCACAGCTTTTTACGAAATATATTAATGTCAGTGCAAATTAACGATTAATTTTGTACAATTTGTGCAAGTCTTAAAGTGTCTGATATCAAAAAATGTGTCTATTTATTTATTCTTTTAAATAATTGTTATGCAATATCATTTTTAAATACTCGGACATTAGATTCATTTCTAAATTTAAATTTTTTATTACTATTTATTTAATATTGACAATCGCAACCACAATTCGATTTCAATATCGGCTTCAGAAGCCTTCCAAAGTTCAATTCACAGTGCACATGATTTTAAAACACTAAAAACAGTACGTTCTGGAGGCATCATCGGTGCCTCCTGCGTCCCTCCGTCAGCCATAATAAAATTGTGAATTAGAATATGCACCTAAACTTTTAGGGCTCATCATAGCCTCTGGATCGTCATCCTTACTCCGGAACCGGCTTGTACCTAATTCCCGTCCTTGCGAAGGTACGTAGTCAACATTCCCATACATACTTGTTCCAGCACATGGGTATATAGTGGAAAGTGGTCTCATTGCCCTAAGAGTTCCTTTATTTGCTGGATTATCTCTATAAAGGATCATATCAGGGTGAATAGGATCATAGAACGTTCCAGAAATATGGCTGATATCAACATCGTTGTCTATATCGGAAACAGTGTCATTAAAAACGTTTGGAGCTTCTGTCGTAAACATATCACCAGTTTTTGAATTTTCTGAGGAGCGGCGTGTTAGATAACATCGAACTGCCACTAATAGAAGTATTATTATTATAAAAATTAAAATACCTGCACTCACATATATAAATAATGCCGTCTTGTTACTAGATGAACCTGAAAAAAATAAGATATATTAAAACAACGAAGCCCTTTTAAATATATATGCTAAATTTTTATATATCAATCTTATTATTTATTTTGTATTTGTAATATAAAATTTGTAAGGATATTTTGCAATAAATCTGAAATAAAAAAATTGTAATAGGAGGAACTTTACGGAACATCGAATGATAAATAAGCTGATTGTTATTTAACAGATTTGTAATGTCCAAGCAATAAAAGATAAATATAAAACAATATTAAACTGAACCCCAACTCCCACAAGTTCTTAAAACTATTACACACACGCATCACGAGTATATTATAATTTTATTACCTGCATTATTGTCTATGGTGCTCTTTCGTGTTGGCTTAAACAAGGAATCTTCATTTTTTTGCGTAGTTGTTGAAGCGAATACGTCATTGGGAGGCTGAAGAGCAGGATTCACCACTGGTGATATTGCATTCGGTTCTTCCCATCTATCGCTAGCTCCATCTATATAATAACATAAAAATCATCATACAGCAGCTTATAATACAGGGAAAGATCCAAGGTTACCGAAAACTGGAAAGACGCCGAATATCCTAGTTAAAAAAATCTAAGGCAGTGATCCCTTTTTCAAGATGGTGGTAGATAAGGTAAAAATCACTATGCTAATCGCCTACCTCCTGTAGGAGATGGCATCTTAAGAAGAATAAAAAAATCCCAATAATCTTTATCCAAGTAAATAGATCTGTTGAGAAAAAAATATATAAAACCAATTCTTATAGTTTCTTCTCAAAGTTTTTTTTTTCAATTCTCTGTTAACATTATGTGTATTTATTTAAATGTACTATGTCAAAATAATTTGGACAATTAAAAACCCGTACATGATCGATTAATACTAGATACGGGTAAATGTTAGTAAAGTAATAGTTATAAAAAAAGTACAGCCAAATTGAGAACTTCTCGTCTTAAATCTTAAATAAACAGCAGCTTATTGTCTGCTACTATAGAGTAACAAACATCCAAACATTTAACCATCCGTATACCTATACAAACTTTCCCGTTAACCCAGATACATTTACCTGGTGTCAAGATTAAATTATTACTATTACTAACTTCTTCTATTAACCCTTGTATAAAATGGAGTCAGTTACTGCCAAGAATGTACGCGTTTCATTCCATCAATCATTATGTCACAGAACTACTGCTACTTACTTGGGGTTTGTACGTATTTTTATGATATAGAACGTTACACAGTAGTTTAATAATTATAATCTTACTAATATAATAAAATTTTAACTAGATGATGTCTGTACATGAGAGATATTTAGGAAAAATTGCTATAAGAGCATTAGAAGTCAAAACAATTTTTAAAAATTTTCTATGTCAATCAGTAAGTTTGTTCCGAAATAATGCAAAAACTAGTACAATAAATTAGATACGGTTAGTTAGATACTGTCATATTCCCGACAATCTAATTTAAAATCTGATATATGCTTTATATTGAGACGTTATCTATTCTAGTCTATTTCATTGATTTTCTTTTTACAGAAATCTAGCTTACGAGATAGCGAAGTAAAAACTAGTGTAAAATACGTACATATATAACATCATTTGGTGTCCGTCCTATCAGAGTCAGTATACAATCTATGCACTATAAAACGTCTTTCGAATGCAGAAAAACGTCATTATTTTAATTATCCTTCAACGAGAAATTGAACAATTGTTAAAGCAATAACTGGTTACGACCAGGCCTAGAAAATTTATAAAATCGACAATTATATGTATTTCACTTTCTTCTTCAGAATATGGATAGCGGCAACTAAAAAAATACAATAGAATGTAGAAGCCTAAGATAAAAAATAAACTTGAAGTAAATTCCTATAGCAGGCCACATGACTAAAACATCAATAATAAATATATGATAATAAATATTATTCACTAAGAAAAAATCTTATTTCGTTAAATAAAATTCCAGTATAAAATGATAAATAACTAACCTGTTAAAAATTGAATTAAAATACACATAAATGTTATTATTATTTACACAAATCTTATAAGCTTATTATAAGCTAAAATGTTGAAATCAGTGAAACATATTACTTGAAGTTTTTTACGATTTACTTATTCATGTAAATATAGTACCTATCATTTTAACTACGTTATTAAAATATCTTTTAGAAATAAAAATCTGAACTAAGTAAAATACATTTATATAAAATGTATCGTTACTTTCAATTTTCATAAAATAAAGAAACGCGGCTTCATAAGCAGGTTAAATGCGTAATATAACACATAAAAAGAGAAATGATGTATGATAGGCTTCCACTTTCCTTCAATATAAAACTTCCTTCTTTTTTATATGTCTTCTATAAAGGATAAAATTTTAATAATGACTATTTTTAAGAGAGTATTATATACGTGAATTTCAAGAAATGTATATATATATATATATATATATATATCTAAATTTCACTAGTTAAAAAAAAATCCCGCGAAATGAAACATAATCGTAACTATTATACATATGAATGTTGACATGTTTTCTGGTCAAATAAAAAATAATTAAATTTACAACGCCAGATAAAACTAAAATGGGAGTAAACGCTGATGATTGCAAAAACATTAACATCGATTCAGAATTGACTATAAGAGCCCAAAATCTCCGGCATTTATGTATAAGTAAGAAAGAAATAATAATAAATGTGCATACAAAACGAACAGTAAGGTGCTAGTGATAAATAATAATTATTATTATAAATGTCAAACAATCACACCAGTTGCCTGGTCCTGAAGCTTACCCATTTAGTACTTGTTATTTCATTACCTGTATCATCAAAGAGACTCTGATCATCATCTTCCGACTTTTTGTTACCGGTCAGTACCTCATCACTCTCCGCTGCACTCTCGTACCGCTCGGTGAGGACTCCTAAAGGTACTGCAATCATAACAATTAATATTGTAAAATTAATAAAATTTAATTACATTTATTTCTTTTAATTTTTGCACACGATTCGTAGTAAATTCACCTATCCATTATTAAACTAACATGATAATAAGATACAAAATGTCCTATATGTTAATCTAGAATATGGTCTACCCATATACTCAATTTCATTAATTTTTTTCAATATTTCAAAATATGAGTGGTAGATGATGTCCATGGTGTCATTAATGTAGTGTAACCATGGTCACCATGCCATGCCATATCTATAGACAAAAGCTGTTTCCCATAAGGTGGAACGTCAGCATGTATGCATAAAAAGAAAGTTGAACCTGCGATAACAGAAAAATGAACCGCTCCAACACCGAGATCAAATATAATGTTTTAACCGACTTCTTAATATCTACACAAATATTGTGGTACAGGCGTGACATTACAGTCTTCGTGTCTAGAAACCCGAGCTGAATATCCTAACCATTAAATTCACTCGCCATAAAACTTTTATGAATCGCTCGTCATGAATTTTACATGACCGTGTAAATTGAATATTAGGCGTTCACATTTTTACAGATTAAATATTTCTCACATATAAGGAGATGATGATAAAAATTACTTTTGGGATATTAGCGTTCTTATTTTTTTTATATATATCACATGATACCATACCAGCCGTTAACTGTCCACTGCTGAACATAGGTTTTGGCAGTAATTGCCACGCTTGGCAAGCGAGTTGGCAGAGAGCCCCTCTTTAAACATCACCAAATTTAGGCTTTACACTGCTGTTCATTCCTCACCTTGCACCTTGTTGCAATACCCACGGGAAAGGGGTGGCCCATTTTATCCTGAGACGACACGGCCGTTTTTTATACACGTTCATTAGCAAAGGATATAGTAAGCCGAAACTCAATAACAGTATTCATAAATCTACCTTTTTCAAAGAGCTCAGTAAAAATTTCAAAATAATTAATTATTGAAAACACAAATAGTGCTGTAATTTAATCGATCTTTTAAATATATGTAAAATATTTAAAATATATTTTTATATTTCCACTAAGGTTATTTGAAGCTGTTTAATTTCACTAATACTAACACTTCACTTAGTTTTTATTCATATTTATCAATTTATTAAAATTTTACTACGATCCGCTCCGCTCCGCTACGATACGCTTGCCTGTTGTATATCTTTATTTTATATATATTATATGTTGTAATTTTTTGTGTACAATAAAGAATAAATAAATATTTTTTTATATGTTACTTTATTGAAAGTTTAAAAATAACTTTAAAAGATTTTTATATGCAAACTTTTACATGTATTATTATTATTAATATACCAAAATAAGACTTTGCACAAAAGTCGTCTACAGATGTGCCCAACCTCTGTCCTATTCATGTATCTGCTGCGAAACAGACGTCTACTGCTGAACATAAACCTCCCCCTTGAGGGGGTTTGCCAATAGTTGCTACGCTTGGCAAGTAGACTGGCAACCGCAAGCAGGCTTTAGAGATATTTTAAGAAGAACGCTACCCATCCCTCGCATTTATCCATTTAAGGACAACATGGCAATGAAATTACACGGTACAGAGGCATAACACCTCAGTCCTTGAGAATAGCAACGCATGAAGGGTATCATAGTTGACACAGTATACTCTATTACGTTAGCTTGTTTGTCACTCTAAGTTGCATATAAAAGAAATAAAAAATAACCTAACAGTCCATTGCATTTAGTACTAATGGGGATAAATGGACGTCTACGACATCAGTGATAGCACGTGTACCTCGCTGACCCGAAAAAACCTAATAAGCCTATTTGAAGTATATTATTTTTAAGAAACCTAATTTCATAAAAAAAGTATCCTATGACTGATACAAAGCAATTAACCTATGTTGCAAACATTACATTTTTAAAAGTTACCTGGATAATAGAAACAAGTGAGTAAATGAATTAAAAAAAAAGTGTACGAAAATCATCATGATGAAAGTGATTTTACTGTGCTCACACTCATCACATCTTTTTTTCTTTTAAATTCATTTACCCACTTGTTTCCATTAATTTCCTTTATTTGATTGCAAGAGAAAAAACTAGTGTAAATAACTTTTGAAAACTCCTTCAACGACGAATTCGATCAAATAATTATTATAGTACCTTTTTGTGTTTTTCTAATAATATCAATATCCTAAGAATTTACTAATTGCTCCACATGCCCACATAAAAATAGATTACATTTATTATAACAAATCGTAAATTCTAGTAGGTATGTAGTCTTAATTTGGAATTAGTTCATACTTAATCCGAACCGCCAACGCCCCTGAAACCTATCAGCACTTAACCCATTCAAGTTTTAACTCATCTATTTGGTTCCAGACTTAAATGGAAACAGGATTTTTCTTTTCCGATTTAGATTAAGCTCCATTCTGAATGTTAGAAAATAAACTTTAAGAAATAAATCCGCGGTGTCTCAGTAAATTTAGCAGTGAAAATGGCTTTAAATATACACAAGGTTGCATTTAGTGTTATATAATATATTATGTAAATTATATTAATAATTGTTTTCGACTTCAAACATGATAAAATTAATATTAGTAAACTCACTGTTTTTATTTTAAAACAAATAAGACATACCCACAAAAGGACAAATAATACATTTTAAATAATTGCGTTTAGAAAGAAGTATCATTATAATTTAAAACCGCAGTCTTGTTACAGTTACACATACCACAAAAAAACCGGCTTCAATCGAGGCAAAACCAATTATTTCGATTAAAAAACTAAAATACAGAACTGATTTTAATAGTATTTCTAAGGGATCAATCTGTAAATATATCCTTTTAAACGGAGTTATAAGGTAACAAACATAAAGAAAAAATACGACCTTATTTATTTTAAATTCCGTTGAAAATGGAGATTATTCGACTTATTACTATAAGAGAGTTTACTTATATATAAACACAGATACGACAGAAAGGTATTCGTTTCTCAAAAAGATACAGTTAGCTTCAATCAATAGGATCATCAGGGAAATGAACTCTATCGATATCAAATACAAAAACTATCAATATCAACTCAAAGTAGTCGAAGATAATGCATACCAATATAAAGTCATAATTCAAAGTGAATAATTACTTAATTTATATTTTAATTATTATGTGAACTTCAAATTATCGATATCTGAATAACATTTCAATCCTTACATTACTTTCGTAATAAACAACAAGACGCGAACTTCCGAAAGTAATTATCGTATGATAATTTGTTTTGGTAACTACGCAATAACATGTGTATTTGCAAAACCATAAATCAACGACCATGTTTAATTTAGGAACCAATCATAAATGTAGTTAGTTATTATCGTTTGAGGTAATTTATAACATTTTTAACGATTTAAAAAAAAAAGGAAGTTTTGAATTGATCTATATTTTTTCAGTTTATAAAAAGAGGTTCTTTTATCTATTTGTGTATATACTGAGAACATTTTTACCTATTCAAAATGGAATTTCGACAAATTCCTAATGCAATTAATGAGGTTTATAGTATGTATTTGTTTGAACACACTTATCTCGGGAACTACTAGTTGCATTTGAAAAATTCTTTTTGCATTTGATAGCTCATTTCTTAAAGAAAGTTACTGACGTTACAATATCGCGATACAATCAAGGACAAAGCTGTAGGATGAACATTAAATGCAAACCTAATTATACAATTTTACGAGTAACTATCTATGTATAAATAAAAATTAAATACTGATCGCTGAGCAAGTACTTTGGATTGAAGATAAAAATATAGTATGGATTGAATATGCTAGGTAAAACAGATTCACTCAAATGTAAATATTTCATTAAAATGTCTAAGCGCAGCATTAACATTTTAAGCATCTGAATCATCTGTTTTAACTATTCTTGCTTTATTGGAAAGAAAATTGGAAATGAACAATACACTAATCTATTAAGTTACCAAATTCTCCAACTGATTATTGAAAATGTGCATTTCCCTACAGCAAACCAAAACATTAATCAGACTTCTATTAGATTGTCATTAAAATTCTGAAATTTGAAAAGTACTTGGAAGCTTCAAACGCATTAAATACTTGCCTAATTATCAGTTACAGAGTTATATGTAATTTGTTTTATAATTAACATTTTAAGTCTACTAAGAAAGATATAAAACCACTTTATAATTTTTTTATACTACTTACAATGGCAAACAAGCTGATGACCGGCCTGATGAAAAGTGGTGACCGTCACCTATAGACATGAGCAGTACCATGGACATAACAGAGAATACTGTTTCGTCCATGATACCCCCCATGCGTTGCCATTCCTGAAGACTCGGGTGTTATTCCTCTGTACCCTGTAAATTCGCGCCACATCCCACCCTTCAAACCGAAACACAGCTATGCAAACACAACTGCTTTACGGTTGAAACAAATGGGACAGAGGTACCCAAGCAAACGACTTTTGTACAAAGTCTCCATCTGGATTAATTTACGAAATAAAATATTAATTAATATGAAAACCATATTGTGTCATATTTAACCTGTCTAATCTACAATGCCGAGATCAATTGTAATTATTAAAATAACAATTTACATGTTTTAATTTTTATTCATGCTTTTATTTTAATTTACAATATATTTATATTTTAATTCATACTTTTTTTAAATATTAATACAAAATTACAAGTTTCTTCAATCCTTATTTTTAAACTGACGAATTGTTATTTTTAAAACATATGGTCATATTCAACCGCCTTAAGAAAGATGGAGGTTCTCAATTTTAGTTTAGTTTATATTTTTTGTGTTTGTTACTTCAAATCTCCGTCTATTTATGACTAAATCGATTTGGAAAATTTTATTTTTATCTGAAAGGATATACTTAAAGATTGTTGCCATAGAAATTTAATCAAAATTCATTCAGTAGCTTTTGGATCTAAATAAATGGTTTTTCCACAACTGAATTCGGTTATTTTGTGGAGCACCGTCTAATAATTTATTTCCCTATTAATGTTGTAAACGTGAAATCTTATTATTGGAAGTAGAAAGGTATATAAATTCTTACCACAAGCGTAAACTACTTTGAGATAAGTCCTTGTCCGTGACTTGCATGGCGCTCCAAAAGTCCTATTGTTAGCTTCTATTTGACAGCGCCGTTTACCATGACATATCTGCATAACGGTATCAGTTCCATGGGGCGCTGAACACGCTATAAACAAAATATATAATTAGTTATAGCTAAAAACTAATGTTTATACAAATAAACATATTATTAATTTTTGTGATGATACTAAGACAATAATACTATTATATAGTATGTATGTAGTTCTTAATTTTTTATGGGAGATGGTCACGCGGAGGACAAACTGTCTGTGTATTTTGCTAGCAATAAAGTTGCTGTCTCTTCTCTCCTTATTACCTACTTTTACACCCTTGATGCAAAATTTAAAATTTTTATTTTAATACATCTTATACTTTTCATATGATACTTAGAATGGCAAACAAGTTGACAGTTCTGGTGAAAAATAGTAACTAACCAGAGAGAAACTTTGTACAAAAGACGTTCATGTTTCTGCCGTGAAGCAATTGTGTTTGCTTGGCTGTGTTTCAGTTTTAAGGGTGGGATATGACAACGAAATTACAAGGTACAGAGGCGTAACAACTTAGTCCTTAGGAATAATAATACATGAAGGGTATCCTAAATGGCAGTATACTCTGTTATGATCACGATATTGATTATGTCTATAGGCAACGGTTAATTATAAAAAGTTTTCCATTCAACCGTCGTCAACCATCAACACAAGTCGACGACCCACCCAAACAAATGCCATTCTAAATTGCATAAGAATAAAACTATCGCCTATAGACATTAAGAACACCATGGACATATAAAACGCATTGTGATACTCAAGGGATACCCCTTATGCGTAGTCATTGCTGAGGACTAATATGTGACACCTCAGTACCCTGTATTTCTATCTATATTGTATAGATAGATAGATACTCTTTATTGTTTCCTTCAAAAGATTACAATAGTAAACTTATTATAAATATAAATAATTACAAGAAATAATCACAATGAAAAAACAATGGGCGATCTTATCGCTAAGAGCGATCTCTTCCAGGCAACCTTTGGATGGAGAAGAGTTAAATAAAGAGAATAAACAATTTGGTGGAAAGCACGATGAAAAATTTTGTTAGTTCAAAATATGGGAGATGTGATACATATAATAATATAATACTATATGGTTTTAATGAAATAGCTCATAATTTACCACGAGCAAGTCTCATAAGTGTCAGCACAATTACAAGCGAGCCGACAAGAAAGGCCAACTATAACTCAAGTGTAAACAAACTGTCCAGAACACCTGCCGCTCAAAATAACAAGTTTTACAAAGCCGCTGTTGCTTTTTTACTAGTTAACAGTTATTAGAAAACTTGACAAGTGATGTACAGGCTCGTGCAATTGTGTAAACACCTTTGTAAGTAGATATTTTTTAATGAAAATTATTAAGCAATTTCAAACATTATATACGATTACACGGTGAAATTAACATAAGTAAACATTTTCTCAAAAAAACATAAGTCTGAAATAAAAAATAAATAATTTTGTTTTTCATAGTAATTTGATTGCTAAATATGATATTTTATCTTAAAGTTTTTCTTTTTCGAGTATTTTTTTTTTGAAAAATTATTCAGTTTTACTCGTCTTCTTAAAAAAGATTCTAATGCATTCAAATTAATTCTGTATATAAAATCACTCTTCCTTATTGATATTACATAATAAAATAACATAAATAATAATAACAATACTATACCTAAACGTTATAAACTAGACTAACTTTTACCCGCAACTTTTTCCGCACGATAAATTAGTGATCGATGCATGATTGATTTTAAAAGTGGCATATAGTATAAATACTTTCAAAATCTATATAATTTACATACAAAATTTGGAAATTTATCATTATTATAATAAAAGGTATAAATCGTAGATATTTTAAGTTATTTGGACGATTAATACAACATTATTAAACTTTAAAGCCCTCATTAACCCTCCACTGGAAAAAAATATCTGCTTAGTGAGCGTCTACATCATAAATCATAATTACTTGCCAATTTTCATACTTATAACCTCATCTATTTTAGAATAGCTGTGAAGAATGAGTTTAGTCACGAATTCTATGCTATTATACTTAACGTGAAAATTTTAAACTCATTGTTGCTTAAACGGCTGAACAAATTTGAATGAAATTTTACAAACAGACACATTATGTCTTGATTCAACACAGTATAATTTGATACAACTAATACCTAATACTATGTGAAAATTTATCAAACATCTATTTGTTTGATATTTATTTCTCAATCATGCTTCGACGGTGGAACGAATTGGAAGATTTGGTAAACAAAACACTTCTATACAAAGTTTTCTCTAATTATTTAAATAAAAATTCAATGCAATATTATATAAATAAGTAATAACATATGGCAGACTTGACACATAATGGGGTTCTCTACCAGTCAACCACGAAACAAGCAGAAAATTAAGTAAAATTAATTAATTAATTTCTAATGGATCTGATATGAAAACATTATACTCACTTTCATCTAGAACTCCCTGCGTTTGTTGACAGGTGATAGATTCGTACGCGGTACGGCCATACTGCGCGTCGAAGATAGCTATCCTCGAGTATGGGTTACAACTCAACTTGATGACGTCATCTTCACAACAGGTCCTACTGCGGAATGTAACTGTAAAAAAAATACGTATAAGCATTTCATATGCCTAACTTAATGGTGGAAGGATGGGCAGCAGTGTCCCTCTTTAAACATCACCAAAGCCTATCTGCGATTGCCAATCTGCCTGCTAAGCATGCCAGCTACCAAACCCTCCAATAGAAGGAGGTCTATGTTTAGTATTGAACAATTAACGGCTGATATAGTATTTCATATATCTAATTAGGATCTCATGGTAACACATGAACGGTATATAGTGTATAGATAAAATAGAGCACCATGTACATTGAAATGAAATGAAATGAAATATCAGCGCTGTAGCAATTAAATTGCTGCAGCACATGCTGAGTGGTGACCACGTTGGCAATAATAAATGTAAAGTTTTTTTTTATTCATAATTTATGTAACTTTTTGTTGTTGTCAATAAATGTTTTCTTTCTTTCTTTCAAATGAGTTGATTTGCATTAAACAGTTTAAAATTATTACAAACCACGTGGTATTATTTTAGCACTTGTTTAATTGCCTTAAAAGATATAGGCATGGAAATATTTTACATTTTATATAAAAAAAAAACCGGTAAATAAAATTATAATTCATTTACATTATTTAAATTGATTCTACATATTAAACGTCTAGATTATAGTACATTATGTCATTTATATATATATCTATATTTATACATTACAAAATGTAATGTGATACTCATGGTAAGACTTATCCCTTTTTCGTCCTCATTCGTCGTAAAGTCCACTCGTTTATAAACCTATTTTAGCTATTGAACTGTTTTATTTTTTTCTTTTGTTCTAAATTTCCAATTTGAAAGAAACTAACAAAAAGGTAAAATAGTTAAAAAATAATTACTAAATTAATTTTTTTTAATAGCACTGAAATAGCAAACAAGCATACGTCCCACCTGTTGGTAAGCGGTTATGGTAGTCTATAAACACTTGCAATATCAGGGATATTACGCGCGCATTGCCAGCACTGAAGGAACCTCTTTATCTCTTTTTTGAACCCCATGTTATAGTCTCTTGTAAAAACCTCGACGAAAAAAAGAGAGAAAACATCTCTGAAACCGCATTGTACGCGACCATCTAAGCTCTAAGTTATGGATGATCTTGCTGTCGAGGGCGAGCTAAACGATGGTAGAAGGTGACGGTGGGCAACCTATTGAACAATTCCTCTGAGCACATTCCGTTGTACAAGCGGTAGAATACGCAGAATGAGGCAAATTCTCTTTTGTAGAAGGTTTCAGATTTTATAAATAAAAAGGTAAGGTGTAATTCTTTCGTAGTTTGTAATTTTACACCCAACTGAACAACCGTGCAAACTCAACTACTCAACGGTAAAAATACGACTGGAACAGAATTACTAATGCAGACTTCTTTTATACAAAGCCTCCATCTAATTAAAGCATTTAATTAATCTTAAAATAAACTGTATTAATAAACATTTAGCTTTAATACAACTTATTTGTACAGTTGTCAAAGAGCCCTTCACATCCGGGTTACTGTTTATTTCTCATTGTGCTTACAACCCTCCTTTCATACATTTACATGTAATAAAAACCACTATAGACCCATTTAATTTCCATCAATGTATCATTAACGTTCGTTTACCCATTTGCGAAGACGACGCCCTTTACAAAATTAGTTGTAAACAGAACACAACCCTTTCATTCCCATTAGTGGGTAACTCGATACCAATATAGTAAAAGCTTGTCTAAGTGTTGTGTAATTACAGCGTCGAATAACTGTATTTATATAGCTAATTACAATGAAGAATCTCGTATATATTATTTGTATGAAAAATACATGATTGTGTTCCGTAAAAAACAGCGATTTTAGCAATAATACTTGCATAAAACAAACTTGGGAATAAATTTCATCGAATGCATTTTATTATTGAAATTAGTTCATATAATATATGGCAAAAATTTCATAAATATTATATATAAATATAAGGTAAAATAACCTTCATTGCATTTCTCATACAAAATAGATATCTGATATTTATTAATATTGATACTATACTTCGTAATTTTTATTTTTTTTTGTTGTTTTTTTTTTTTGTTTCCTCACATTTTCGACTATAACTATAGAAAATACGCATTATAAAAATAAATAAAATCAGTTTTAAAATGTACAAATGAAGCCTAATCATTTAATACCTCACTTGGACTGATAGATCAATTTTGAGTATCCGTATTGGACTTTTCATTACAATTTTCATTACAATATGTGTGAGCCAATGATATCTGTTTTAAATCGATTTGTAAATTTTATGATCACATTTTGATCCCTTAACAAATTCATAATATTTGTAGTTACTGGGATATAGCACTGTGACAGACGGACGGACAGACAAACTTTTTGGAGCCCAAAAAGTAACTTTTTATGTAATTACAAATACACGATCTAAGTTTGTGACCTATATCGTGTAACATTATTATAGGCATCAGGCAACCCATATAATTCTACTCATCTCTCATTTCCATTAATATTTCGATAAATTGAATATTTAATTTTATTGTGCAAACACGACTAATGATCTAATAAATATATTATACCTCTACTTTCCCTCTACGTTAAATTTATACTTTCATATTGTAATTGATATTTATAATAGAAAATATAATTTCCCTTTTAAACCGACATAACAAAATTTATGTTCCCAAATCGATTCTATTTTAACTTTACAAATTTTTCACAGATTTTAATATCAATATTTATCGTATAATAATCCTCAATATATGTTTGATTCGGAGACATTAGTTGTAGTAAACATAACACTTGTCAAAGAAGGAGGAAGGGAACCTTTGTACAAAAGTCGTTTTCGTTACCGTGAAGCAGTTGTGTTTGCATGGCTGTGTTTCGGTTTGAAGGGTGGAATAAGGCTGTGAATTTACAGGGTACAGAGGAATAACACCTGAGTCCTTAGTAATGGCAGCGCATGTGGGGTATCATGGGCGAAACGGTATACACTGTCGTACTCATGTCTATAGGCGATAGTTACCACTTTCCATCGGGTGTGCCGTCAGCTTGTTTGTCATTCGAAGTTACATAAAAAATAATAATAACTTGACCCTTATTTCACCCATATATTAGAATCTATCGCAAGAATAATATAATATGTAAATATAGCAAGGAGTCCAATTGGTGTTTCCTATAAACAGAAAGTTAGTCTGTTAGACTTTGTACAAAAGTCGTTTGCTTGGCTATCTCTGTTCTATTCGTCTTTCTGTCATGAAGCAGTTGTGTTAGCATTGTTGATTTTCAATTTGAAGGATGAGATATGGCAGTGAAATTACAGGGTACAGAAACGTAACATCTTAGACCTCAAGAATAGCAACGCATGAAGCGTATCATAAGTGACACAGTTAAGACAATGATATTATTCATATCTATAGACGACGGTTACCACTTTCCATCAGGTGGGCCGTCAACTTGTTTGCCATTCTAAGTAGCATGAAAGAAAATCGGAAATTTAACAAAGTTTTTAATGTTGGCCAGATTCGAAGTTATTATATCTTTATTGTCTATATTTTGGGGTAATATTACCAGATTTGATTACTTCAATATAAGCATGTCTCATTGTATTTTACTGTGATGAATTGTGAAGAGGAAATAAATCTATTTATTATGATTTATTATTAATATTAAATACTACACAGTACTGAGTCACTCTTCTTTATATAGAAAAACAAAAAGATTAAAAAAAACTAATAACCCTTCAATAACCACGGGGTAGGTTTCGTAAAAACATCGAACATTCCAGCCGAATGTTCCCACCCACCCGTTTAGGCTCACCACTAATGAGTACACGCCGCGCCCACCGGCCACTCCTGCACTTCCCGCCGCACCCTGGCCGGTGACCTCGTCCAGGAATTTATTAACACCGCATAAATCACACCAATACACTTGCAGGACCCTCGTGAAATAGCGTTACGTCATGCGATTAGTACAATCTGATTCGCCCTCGTTGTCTTCTTTTTATTATTTTTGTGATATTGTTTTCCAAAAAATGTAATATAGAAAGAAAAAAAAAGAAAGAATTAAATCGGAATCGCTAGCATTCTTTTTAAAATAATATTCTAGTAATGGAACTGAACATTTTTCCCAAAAAAAACGTGAGAAAAAATAGATAAAACAATTTGAGTCTCCTTTTTGAGTTACTCATATAAGTGTATTATTTTTTAATGAGTAATAATAGAATGGTAACCGCTTGCGCTATCAGTATACGCTAGCAGGATACCAGTAAGGGATGATACGTAAGAATGAAAAGGCAGGTCAGTTAGCCCATCGTGATGAATTCACCTGGAACTCAACACGATGGTTTTCAGGACAGACCACGTGGAGGTCGACCTAACAGAGTATATTGCTAGCAATGGGACTATTACTCCACATTACTAACAATCCCTTCTCCACCCTGCCCCCCCCCCCCCCCCCATATATATATTCAACCGACTTCAAAAAGAAGAGTACCTTCTTTTTAATTCGATTATATTTTTTTGTTTGTTACTCCTAACTCCGTCAAGTGGGGGCGAAGGAATTGTTAGTAATACAAACTTCCAGTCCCTTTGCTAACAATATACTCTTTCAGATCGACCTCCACGTGATTCCCCCTGGAAACCTGAAATACTGAATTCGAGATGTATTCATTACAATGGGCTAACTGACCTGCTTTCACCCTCACCTATCATCCCTCACTGGTGCCCTGCCAGCGTATACCGTTAGCGCAGACGTGGTTACCATTCCATTATCATCCAATAAAAAAAAAATAAAAAAAAACTCTGTCAAGTTTAAACCGTTAAAAAAATCTTTCTTATCTAAAAAGATATATTTACACTCCATAGAATTTTATTCAAAATTATAAGTAAAACTATTGCAACGCAATAAAATAAAAATAAAAATAACTGGCTTTTCCAAATTTAAAATCAGTTCTTTTTTCTAAGTTTTATTTATTTTACTTTTAAAAGTAAACAAAAAAAATATCGTTATCTGGGTTATTTATTTAGATCGGACTGTAAACGATGGCCAGAAACGTTATTCCCCAAACTTGAGGCTTTCTCTTTAAGAATTAACGACAGTTTGCCCAGTTACTTGGTAACAGCGTCCGTAACAGAATCATTTATTGCGAGAGCAGGATAAATGGATGCATTAGCAGAAAACGCTGTTGGGAACTTGCATTTGATATTCATTTCATATGATTTACAAGTACCGAATCTTTCAAACCCTTACTTATATATGTGAAAGTAAGTTTGTTTGTTTGTTACCTCTTAGCATCTTAACAGCTTAACCAATCATTATGAAATTTGGTATAAATTTAATATACACATATACAAAAATGTATTTTTATTTTCTTATATATATGTATATATATATGTTTTTCAGAAAAACATATGCATACATATAAGATCGTAATCGTTATATGTATATAACCAAGAAGTGCATTTAAAAAGATTATAAAAAAAAATTTGACAGATTTGAGAAATCATAATGCGAATCTAAAGATCATTTGTTAAGTCTGTTTTTTTTTTCAAATATGTAGTTACATTTTAAGAAAACACATTAATCATATGTATATTATATGTATGTGTATTTTATGTCAGCAAACAACATGTGAATAGTCTCTAAAAAATTATTAAACTTTGACAGTTTGTAGCTGTGTTAAGTACCTATTATTGCAAAGCAAAATTTACAGTTATTTAAATTTAGAACATGTAATCGTATACAAGTTCCAAATTCAAATATTCTCAATTTAATGTATTAACGAAATATCCTATCATACATACGAGTACGAGTCTTTTATTATGATTGAAGTCCTTATTTTTTTTGCAGTGTTTGAGCAAAATGTACTGTGCTGTACCGGATGAACCATAAACAAGATTAAACGTTATTTTCATTGTCTATGAATAAAATTCACATACATCAACGTTAGCTATATGGGGACAGACTTGAAAATCTTTCGTGGCTAAGTAAAACAAAGCGAGGATCCAATAACTTACCAATAATGGCTTTGGCGACTTAAGCTCTATTCTCATAAGGGGAAATATCAAGGCAGTTATTCAATGTAATGTCTTCGGTAGTGGCGAAACGGTGATATAAAAAAGTGGTCCACAAAATTATTTCTCGTGTTCCCATTTCGGCTGACATGTGTTTGGAACGCTGCCCGATAATGTCGAACGCGATTTTATAACAGTGTTTTGTTGTCCCCGGTGATAAAAGGGACTATTAGATATACATCTGGTTAATAAGAAGCAATCGAAGATGATGAATTCTTAATGTGACGCTAAAGAGATATCGAATTTATGAGGTTAAGAGTTAGCTAGTTACATAGGAATGGCAACGCTTGGGGGCTATCATGGGCGAAACAGTATACTCTATTTGCCGTTCTAAGTTGTATAAAAAAAAGCTTTTTATATAACTAGAAATGTCAAATCTACTAGAAAGTGGTAACCACTGTCTACAGACGTAAACAGTACCATGGAATTTACAGAGTACAGAATGCTTTTAAAAATACTATGCGTAATAATGTTACCCTCCTTTACATTGTATGTTTACTGCCATATCCCAAACAAGGCAGCAATAGTCCAGCAATATACAGTTAATGGCTAAAATAATAATAAAAATCCCTAACAAACCATGCAAGCACAGCTGTTTCATAAAAGAAATAAAGGTAGGACAGAAATACCCAAATAGATGAATTTTCTACAAAATTTCTCCCATGCACAACTATACTTTAGAATCGAATTCTAACAACAGTATTTAAAAAGTGATATGACATCGTAACCTTCAATAAAATACAGGCACCTGCAAATTCTCGGATATTGCGGGTCCTCAAAGGCAACGGTAGTCACTTACCATCAGGTGACCCGCATGCTCGTTAACTCCCCTTATTTAAACAATAGTCTTCCAAAATTATTTGAATTTAAATTAAACGTTTACCACGTTTAATTTAAATTCAAATAATTTTTATTCAAATAGACTTATTTACAGGCACTTTTAAATCGTCATTTTTATAAGTCTACTCCAGGGGAATGTTATTGAGAAAATATATATATCTATTGAGAAAACCCCGCAAGAAACTCGTCAGAATCTTTTTTAAATCAGTTAACATTATGTGTGTTTATTTAAATATTCTCTCTCTCTCTCTCTCTCTCTCTCTCTCTCTCTAACAATATTCTCTCTAAAACTCTAAAATTTTAAATGGGCATTAAAAAGCCCGTACATGGTCGACTAACACCTTGCACGTTTGTCACTAAAATAATCGTTTAGTGTGTAATAGACATTGTTCAATAAGTGTTTCTCAATAACTGTTTTAAATTTACTAAAACATAGATAATACGAAAGTATCCTTTGGTATCTTATAATATTGTGACATTTAATAAAGCAATAGTTATATTATTATATACTTACAGGGTCTGCATTTGTAGGCCACTTCGACAAACTTCCTAGTCCTGGGGCAAGGATCCACTAAACCCATTTTCGGCTTAGTGCTGAACTTGCATTGTGGCTTCTTTTGGCACGCCTCCACCACCCTTTGCAGTAAAGAGTACTGTTCAAAAATAAAAATGATGTTATTTTTCCTCAAAGCTACAAATATTGCTTATGAATATTATTAACTACAGTGACTTATACTCATTTACTGATTATTTTTTATAAATTAAAAACAAACTTCCCGGCTTATTATGAAATCTGGCAACCCTCAATCGAAATATTTAACTAAAGCGGTATAATAAGAAATTATTATAAACGTATGGAATGCGCTGCTTGTTGAGATTTTTCCTACAGACTAGAGAGGTTTCTTCAGAGTCGGTAATACACGAGTAATGGCTCTAGTATTGCAGGCGTTCATAGACTATCGTAACCGCTTTCCATCAGGTGGACCGTATGCTTATTTGTCAGCTGAGTATTATACAAAAATATATTAAAGGTGATGTATATTGTTTATATATAAAATTTTTCACTCTAATTAAATCCTAATTATATTTATTTATAATTTAACAAAATTTCGTGGATAGAAACATTTTTATAAAATAATTAACTTTATCGCGATTTCAGCCGTTAATTGCCCATCATATTGCATAGTTTTTCTCCATAGTTTCCCATAAATAACAGACCAAAATCATTGGCATTTCCTGATAACTACCTAACTTATATAGTAGTAACATATATTCATTCTTCTTCATATATGGGAGACAGGCGTGACAGATATGTATGTATGTATATATTCTTGTGATCTTATTCGTTTGTTATAAATTTTGCGTCAGTTTTTTTTTTTTCAAAATATATATCTATAAAAATACTATTATCAAACTAAATTAACCCGAGATACAACTAAATGACGTAACTTTATATTCATTAGTAAATCAATATCGTGATTGTGATGAGATTTCGATTGCCTTTGCATTCATAAAAAAAACAGTGCAAAAATACTACTGATTACGCATTTAACGTTACTGTCCAAAGAATATTTATTTATTTTATTCATATAGTTATGTCGCTCGCTACTTCATACGCATGCGTTTTAATAGTAGGAAAACCAATGATATCTACTACTTGTCTATAGACACACATTTTCCCTACAGAACTTCAAGATAAAACTGTTAAAAATTTTAACTTTGACCTTCACGAACACAACTGTGAAATTGCATTCAATTTGGTGCAGTAGCTTTTGCATTATACCGAAAGAAACACAGACAGACTGTCAAAATTTCCAAAATTATCATTTTAACATCTATAGTTTTTAACCGACTTCAAAAAAAGAGATTCTATGTTCGACAGTATGTATCAGAATATGTCTTTAATGTATGTGCAATTATTTCTCCGTCAATTGTGGATGGACTTTAGAAATTATATTATTATACTAAGATAATTTACATAAGTTCGTTTGCTACTTTAGTGTAAAAACTAGTTTTATACTTTTCTCTAAGTCGATATATCAAGTATCAAATATCTCAAGAGATACAAAATAAGTCACATAATATATCACTTTTCTTGGAAGACATTTGTTTACGTATCTGTGCCCACCACAAAAGTATCGAGAAAATAATTTAAGATTTTTACATCTCTCGTGACAAAATTAATATAAACCCAATACCGAAGTTATTCTTAGTAAAAAGAATAATCGAAATCAATACAAATTTTTCGTGTAACAAACACAAACATAGCATATGGAACCATCAATAATACATAAGTGGAAACCGCATCCAATTTGGTGCAGTAGTTTTTACGTGATAGCTGATCGAACATACGAACAGACAAACAAAACTACTAAAAATTATTGTGTTAATATCCTTTGGTCTTTAAGAACCCACGTATTATTCTTCTCTGCTTATTTGCTCATTTCGTTACACCGTCAATTACATTATTTGTTATTCCTATCAACAGTTGACTGGTAGATACCGCCATATGACGTACAGACATCATCTAGTTACGTTTTTAATATATTAATAAAATACGATAATCGAAACTGATTAAAAACTTGCCAAGATACCACATAAAAGTCACAAACAAAGTACACAGGCGAATTAAGAATCTGCTCCCTTCGTGAAGTGAGACAAAAATAAAGTTATGTTTAATTAACCTTTCAATTAATCTGAAACTCCTATAAAACTGATGATTTGGATCTACAATAGGCATTGTAATTTTAAGAGTGGTTTTACAGCTTGGTACTGTCTCCTTATCTCATTTTAATGGAATTTTAAAGCTTGACTTCTATTTCTATATTTTGATATCTAATATTTTCGGTAGATATCCGTCTAAATCACATTTTGAAATAGATATAGTATAAATTAATTTAATGATTTATAATAATATTTCTATTATTAAATAATCAATTGTACAAATATTAAAATAACACTGTAGTACAAAAAATGTTGAATTTTAGGGAAAGGCTCTAAGATTCTATTTTTTGAAAATCTTATATTATCTCAATAGAATTACATCATTATCCAAACCTATGTAGATAATATAATATAAATATGAATTACCTCCTGTTTATATTATATTATCGCTTAGTATAATTAGCAAGAATTAAAGATAAATATAATGTGTTTGGTCATAGACAATCCCTTACGCCATTTACTTTTACCATAATACATTGAGAGCGCGGATTATCGCGTCACTATGTGCACCGCTTGAGGCTTTCTCGTATCTGATACGAGCTAGGGATCTACCATGAAATGAATTTCCGAATTTTTGAACTCAATTTCGTGGTTTTGTTTATGCTGAAATCCACCCCGTAAAAGGAGCTTAACATTTTGTTCGTCATAAATCCTACCACAAAAATCCAGAAGCACGACATTTTAACATTTTTAATAATTTTGAATTCTATGTAACAATACATACCAATTAAAAATATTAATTGGCACGTTTTATCTATACCACGAAGTAATATTAACATCAAATTTTTCTCTCGTTCCGACCTGAAATTTCGGAAAACATTTCATGGTATGCCCTCTGATATCCGAACAAATTCGAATAATTATCTCAGAGAAATTATACATGACCATAATGTATGATTACGTATATCATCGTCACAAGTAGCTATATATTAGTCAGGTATATAAAATATAGAGAATATTTAAAAAAAACAAACCTGCATTGTGTTGGGCCATAGACAATCCTTTTCGCCATCGACTTCCACCGAAATACTTTGAGATCGCGGATTTTCTGCGCAATTGTGCTCTCCGGTCGAAGCTTTCCCGTATTGTGCCACTTGTATACTAATTGCGGTTCCTCTTGGACACGCCAAGGAAACTATTTCATCATCGCACGTCGCTCTCTGCATCATCTTCAATGTTCCCAGCAGCAAAGCTATAGAAAAATTAAATAAATTAGATATATATATGGCTTACTATGCCGTGTAGGTTCCGACATAGAATGGACCACCCCTTCCTTTCCCATGGGTGTCGTCAGAGCAGACTAAGAGAGGACGAGGGATGGCCAGCAGCGTCCCTCTTAAAACATATCGAAAGCCTAACTGTGGTTTTCAATTTATCTGCCAAGCATAGCAATTACTGGCAAAACCCCTACGGGGAAATATATCCAGCAGTGGACATTTAAACGCTGACATGATGATGATAGTGGCTTACTACAAAAATAATGGAAAAACTACTTAACTAATCAATATTTAATAAAACTCGCAGGTATCATTGATATAGTAAACATAAAAAAATACAACGGCAAATATTACATTTAGTTGATTCGTTTATAATAAATGTAATATTTATCATAATGTAACCTATTATATATTATTATATTTATTGTAATAGTAAAAACAATATACAACGGATGATTTTAGATCTTGTTAGCGAAAATAGGCTTATTCTTAATAGAAATTTCTTCCAGCAATTCTATAATAAGTTTAAATAAGTGAACTGAACTTCTATCATAATAACTTTGCCTATTTGATGTGCCTAATTCGAACAGAATAAATTTCTGTCAAAGAACATTCAGATATTTTGTGAGGGTGAAATTAAGTTGATGCTTTTATTGAGCAATTTTCTTTAATCTAGCCTCTACCCGCGACTTCGTCTGCGTGATAATTACTTGTATTCATAAAACATTATGTAATCATGTTAATAGTCGATATTGTCGGCACTTAATGGGATTTTGTATACATGTTAATATTTTTAGAAAAATATTTATTTTCTTACAAATTTGTTTATAATAAATACCTGACCGATTTCATCATTTATTTATTTATAAATTACTCACCACACTTACAGTATCCCAAAACGTGTAGTGAGCCATAGGTTTATTTTACAAACATAAAAATTTTGAACAACATTTTAAAAATATATCTATTTTGTCATTAAATATATCAATATTTGGCTGCTGAGCAATCAGAGAATTGTTTCCTCGTTAAAGTTATTTTTAAAGGTTAGTTACACGAGTCTCTTAGAAGAGAATTATTACAAAGTTAAGTTCCATATCAGACGTTAACTGTGCATTGTTGAATATAAGGCTTCTCCATAAGGCGAGTTTTGCCAATAGTTGCCATGCTTGACAGACGGGTTGGCAACTGCAGTTAGGATTTGTGTGATGTTTTAAGAAGGCCGTTGCTGCCCATCTCTCTAGCATTAAGTTCCCTTAATCATCTCTTATGACACTTATGAGAAAGGAAGAAGTGATCTGTTCATGCCAGGACTATACGGCAGCTGGAACAATTTATATGGTAACAAATGGGGGTTTTTACGTGTTTTCTTGGGTAATTTTTCCATTTTTCCCCCTTTTTTTTGGAACTTCCTTAAACTTCAACCAATATATAAAAAAATTAACCAAATTTGTCCAGCTGTTGTTTTACAATCATATAAATTTAATTTTTAATTCATATAAATTATCTTACATAATTTTCTAACAAAACAGGGGCATGGCCAAACAGTTTGCTGTTTTGTTAGATTTTGCTGAACGCACTTCGAAAATTTAAATTTTTATGTTTATATTAAATTGAAAAAAAATAAGAAAAATATGCTCAATTATGTAATCCCTGATGGGACAAATAGAGGCTAATAAACTAATATCGCTAGAAGAATAAAATTCTTGACATACCCGCAATATCGAACATATTAGAATTCAACATGGCAATTTGAGATAATGAGTTTAGGAGAAAATTTCCATTAACTAAATTAATATATACGTACAAAAAGAAATTAGATTTTTTGTTTAGAATGGATAAACTCAAAAAATACTTATTCTATATTAAAAATTCTTTTACATATTGAAAACTAAATTATCCGTACTATATTTTATTTATAAAAAAAAAACTAAATATCCTAAACATAATTAGTACAATCCACCCGTGCGAAGCCGGGGCAAGTCACTAATTTACTATAACAGCGATGGTATTTGACATTCTGAGTCCTCTTTCCTTAATGATATTCCAGTGGTGAACCCAACAATTAAGTAGATACTATCAACAACGAGAAGAATTTCAAACTTCAAGAAACTTTTTCGTTACGTATAAAGGCCTGAGCAGACGACGGACAACATTTCCCTTTTTTTATCCATGTATTTTTGCCTTATGTACCTTTATGTATTTTACTTGAATTATTCAATTGTCATTGTATTTTTTTTCTGATGCAATAAAGAGTTAAACAAGTAAATATTGTATAATACGTATGCATTATTGCAAGCAATTTTAGAGTTTCTATTATTATTTAGCCAAGGTTTGTCTCATTATTCTTAAACTAGAAAGATGAATCAAACATAAAAGTCTCTACTGGCGATGCTGACGATGGACACTTACTTAACGTACTCTTTATAAATAAGACGTGTATTTGCATTGTAAGCGTTATAATTTCTTTTTTTAATAATATTGACATATATGACATTATTGACATATGACAAATAAATATATGACAAACTAGCTGACAGCCCAACTTGTGATTGATGACTGATGAAAACTGGTGACCGTTGCATGCACTACATGTATTTGTAGTAACATAAAATTGTAGGTGTTTTTTATGACTATTCTAAAATTTAAGCCGTGTTTCTATCTCGACAGACTAAAAAGCCTAAGAAGATAAGATAAACAAAAGAAAATTTAGTCTGTGAAGGAAATGTCCCTTGTCAGCATAATAGTCACTCTAATAATTTCCTCTATCTTGAAGTCTATAAAAATGTACTAAATAATAAATATTGTTTTAATTTAACTCAAGCTTTTACCATGGAACAAGATAAAGTAGGTATCCAACACACCCCAGTACCAAATATCTTACTTATTCCTGATTCAAACGTGCTAATCCATAGACCACAGCTAATGAAAAATATTTAATCTACTATGAAAATATTAACATTTTTCGTGTTATTATATTGAAAATAAACACATTCTATGTTACCATTTTATTTTATAAGAACTTGCCGATAAACGTATCAAGAACATCTCTCGGTTTATTACTAAAAATAATAACTAATATTATTATCAAAGTATTTATTTTCCTTTTATTCTAACGGATAAAAGTGACACTGTGCCTTGACCTTCACCTTTATACATTATAATATCCGTAAATAATGGTAAGCCGTCTGTATATAATCCGTACATTCATGAACTTGAGTTTTTCATGGACAATAACAAGAGAGACAAAAGAGCCGTCACATATACGATACAGATGGCGCCATAAGGGATGCTGCGTGAACAATAGTCGCCAGATAATGCGAATAAAGGCTGTTTGCGGAGTTCTTCTTAGTCCTTGAACTAAGGTAGGCACGGAAATTATTTCTACTTATATTTAATTTAATATGGTGAAATTATTTTTTATAATCACAGTTATCACCAATGTGACAAAATAATAATAGTATTTTTCACTCGAATTAACTCTCATATAAATCACACTCACATATTATTAAATCATTACGAGTAAATAAAAATATCACATGTGCTATTAAAAGTGAAGTATAAATTTTTATATTCGGTGTGCTAAAGTCTCTATTCGCTCGCTTTTTACAAACCAGTCGGCCGTCTGTTGCGATATTATTTTCCTATTGTTCGACCACAGCTGATGACTTACAAATAATACAAATATAGCTATCTGTGACTTTCATTTGGCGCTATTCTGTATCGATCAAAGTGAAGAGAAGAATCTTGTAGAAATAACGTATGATTTTAATTAACAAATTTCACATGCTACTTGTAAAATATTTAACGCGTAGACTATGGCGATGTTACACTATATACGAGTTACACATATCATAATTTCTCTAGAAATATTACTAAAATATGTAGAGATTTATGTGAATACAATCTAAATTCATTAATTTTCATTAATAATCTACATGATTCCTATTAGGTATGTTATTATTCAATTTGTGAATCTCATTACCTACAACTATTCGTCTATTATGTTGATTATACTAGTTATTTATTTATTTAATATAGTTACGATTATAAACTGATTCATGGTGTTATTATTTATTAATTTATTTCAAATTATAACTTGCGATTACAGTCATGTCAGGAGTGTCGTATATTTGACACTATGACATGTTCTGTTAAATTTAATTCAAATCTGTTCAACAATTTCAGCTAAATTTAATAACTGACATTCAAATAAATGTATAAATAAATATTCTTTATTGCACCAAAACATATAGTAAACAAAAGCAAAGGGGAACTTATCTCTAAAAGATATCTGTTCTAGTCAACCTAACACTGCCATAAGAAGTAGGAGTGAGTAGCAATAATATATATACTATACATGTAGTATATATACTCACGACTGCAATTTGTTTCGGGGTATGAAAAAGCATTTGTCAACTGTCACCAATGTAATGAACGTAACGCTCGACATAGGTACATTTCAATTTAACATGGTAGGAGGCGAGTTTGTCATCGTCACTAAACATCTCATTTTGTATACCAACGGCAAGCAAGCATACGACCCACTTGATGGTAAGCAGCCTATTGATGCCTGCAATACCAGGAAGAGGTATTACGCGCGCGTTGTCAACCCTGAAGAAATCTCTTTACCCCTTTTTATGGGAAAGGGATTATTAGTATTGGGGATCTAACAACCCCATAGCTAGCAATATACCCTATCAGGTCGAACTCCACGCGGTTTACCCTGGAAACAATTTTGAATAATTCTTTATGAATTAGTCACTATGGGCCAACTGACCTGTTTCATTCTCATCTATCATCACTCACTAGTGCCCCGCCAATGCATACCGATAGCGCAGGTGGGGTTACCATTCCATTATTACCCATTAAAAAAACTTTTTTGAAGATGCATGCATGCATAGAGTATGCATGTATGCATTTATAACATTAGTACGATACTAAAATATACTCACGTGTTCTAATTTTATATACAAGT